ACAATAATTATCCAAACATTCTCACTTTATCAGAATCACTTTTCAGAAAATCTATTTTCTCTAAAATCTATTCTCTAGAAATTATTTTGCAAACTATAGTTTTATCTTATCCAAGCAGCTCCTACATGTCATAAATAGCATTAAAGTAGTAACGTAGACTCTTACAAGACCTAATACTAGAGATTCAAAACAAAAAAAAATGAAAAGATGGAAAAGGTATGAATGACAACTCTGAGTTAACATGTTGCAGGCAGCTGGTCTATTTCTTTCTTTTTCTTTTTTCTCTTTTTCATTTTCCAAAGCTATCCGTCAGTCACTCACTCCCTATGCAAACATACATTTATGTTTTATGCTCTATTTTTTTTTCCCTTTTTAACAGTTTCTTTGGCGGGATATATTGTTTCTTTATTATAATTATAATATATATATATTATATAAGTATATATATTTTTTATTATTTAATAGAATGTTTTTAAATAGGATTAGTATAATTTTTAGGCTCTGAAATTTGGATCGATTTTGATTTTAGTCCATCAAATTTCAAACCTATAGTTTTAATTATTAGAATTTAATCTGTCTTAAAACGTTAGTTTATAAAGGTGTAACAATGTTAAGATCTACTAAAGTGTCATAAACAGCATTAAAGTAGTGATATAAACTCACTAAATGACATCTAACTAGATTTTGTATGGATAACAAAAAAGAGAGGAAAAAGCAAGTCCTAAGAACACAGCCTTTTAACCTTTTGTTTTTTCTTCATTACTGTTTGTTTTCAAGAGTTATTCATTACACTGTACTCTATTATTCATACAAGATCTAATTAAGTATTATTCGGTGAGTTCATATTACCACTTTTAACATCACTAATAACATTTCAGCAGATTTTAATACTATTGCATCGTTAAGGACTAACATTTTAAGACAAAACAAAATTTTAGAGATTAAAACCGTGAGTTTAAAATTTAAGAGACTAAAATAAAAATACACTCAAATTTCAAGCTCCAAAAATATATTAACCCTTTTAAATATTACTTTTATTAAAATATTTTTTACAATTAAATATGAATATTTTCAAAATTTTGATTTAAATTATTTTTTTAACCACCAGTCTAACTTCAGGTCAACCCGTCTAACCCCACTGACTTTTAACCTATTACCTCAAGTGATTAATTTAATTATTGGTCCAAATTTTTTAGCCTTGCTCTCTCACGAAACTTGAAATAAAAAGTTGGGAAAATTACTCGCAGTTGTCCGGTGAGAAAAATAAGATACATCCCGAAAATATCATATTTACAAATCAAAGTTGCATATTTACAATTCAATTTACGTCATTTACAAATCAAATTTAACAATTGATGTTTTCAGGTCAACTTACCATATTTACAAATCAAGTTAGGACATTTATAGTCAAACTTAAAAAAAACAATTCCTTTTGACTGCTCATAATTTGCTTCTTGTATGAGTCTATTATCTATTTTTATATTCTCAGAACAATTCTACAGAGTAATTTTTTCAAGAACCAGGTTTGAAACAATAATTTAAAAAACTGTTTGAATCATTATTTTAAAAATATATTAATGATGAAATGAAAGGTGAATGAATAGTGTGTGTGTGGGTGTGTGTTTTTTTTCTTAACCGATATGAATAGTATGCTTTATTACCATGCTTGTTATGAATGAAAACACAGTATTTTTTTTATACTTCTTCTCTAATTTTGTAGAACAAAAAGTAAAAAAAATATCAAAAAGACGTTCCCATTTTTTTCCAGAAAAAATTGTATCTTCTTTGTTTTTCAGAACACAAAAGTGAAAACACATTTTCAAACCTTTTTTTTTTGTTTTTTGAAAAAAAAACTAGTTTAAAAAAAAAACAAACAGGCCCTTAATTTTTTTTAATCTGAGACCAATGGGCAGGATGAATAATTTAGAAGATGGTTAGACGTAAATTCGTATTATTCATTCTTCGTTATCGCCTCAAAAGCCAAAAAATGCTCAAACATCTTTTGTTTTTCCTCAACCATATATATACTAGGGGGAAAATAAAAGATAAAAGGCTTATTTAGTTTCTTGTTTTAAAAATAATTTTTTTATTTTTAAAAATAGAGAAACAAAAAAACTTGTTTAGTAATTTGTTTTTTTGTTAATTGTTTTTAAAAACAAAAATATGTTTTTAAAAACTGAAAAAGAAAAACAATTTTTACATGTTTTTTTGTCTTTTTTTTGTGTTTTTTTATTTCTTTTGTTTTGAAAAATTAGAGAAATCTTCTTTTTTTCCCTCTATTACTTACTATTTATTACTATAGGTGATAACTACTGCTTGTCAAAGTGTAATTTTATATTTTTTTTCCAAATGTGATTTTTTAGAAATTATTTTCCAAACAAATTTTTTTTTCCAAAACTTGCTCTTAAAAACAATTTTATAAAATTGTTTTGAGAATAAGAAAACAAAAACCAAAAACAAACAGCCCAAAATGTTCTCTTGTAAAAGGAAATGTAATATATAAACTGGTATATAAAATAAACTTACATTCTGTTATTTACCTTTAATATGAATAGATGATTAGCACAGGGATGGTGATTTGATCTTCTTCTGAAAATACACTAAAAGAAACAAATGTGCAAACGAAGAGGCATTAAATAAATAAGCAAAATTTAAGTACACTAAAAAGAAATTATTCTTGAAGAATCAATAAAACAAACGCATCTCCAAGATAGCTTAATATTTACCCTGTAATACATATAGATGACGACCTTGACGATACTCCAGGAATTCCAACAGTGACCAAGTTATGGATTTTGCAGATTTGACTATGGCAACAAAATAGCTCAACGCAAGGAAGAACAAACGAGAGGTGAATGTGAATGAATATACGAAGAAAGCTTATACTCATTTATAGATAATAAAGGCACGATAAGAATTTGTTCTTTACTTGAGCTCTTGAATGATATGGAAATGCGAGTTCCAAAGTTAAAGGACTCCCTCCGGTCATAAATATAAGATCTATTTTGTAACATAAATTATACTAAAAAATAGATCTTATATTTAGAACGGGAAGAGTATTTCATATGTTGCTTCCATTTGGGTTTATTCTATGCGTATGTGATAGAAGTCATTCTTTTTTTAGTTTTTCAATAAAAAACCGTATCACAAAAGACTTTTGGAAAACACGATGTCTGACAAATGCTCTGGGGGCGGTGGAGGCACAGACGACGGCGAGAAGGAAAAGAGAACGCGGAAGAAGTTTAAACGAGTGGTCCCTCATAACCAGGACCCACCGGATGAGAATTTCCAAAACCGAGAAACTCATAAGGCAGCTGAAGCAGAATCATCAAAGGCTAAATCTTTTAAGGAGTCTCTTCTTGGATCAACTCTGAACAGATGTCAAGAGACAAAACTGGCTGCAGTGTTTTTGATGAAGCATGGAACGAATATATTGCCGGCATACAACAGTTCTTCATAATGGATGCCTCAACTATGACTGGATCTGAGAACACTAATGGAGAGGAGACGGATGATGAAGACTGCCCCACTTTGAGGATCACTAAAGATCAGTACGAGCGATGGTGCGCACCATGGCGTAAGTCGTTAATCATTAAACTCTTGGGCAAGTCTGTCCCTTTGTGGGTCATGCGAAACAGCTTAAAGCGACTTTGGAAGACAGAGAAACCATACACAGTCAGAGATATTGATAATGGATATTTTGTAGCCTCTTTCGATGATATTGACGACATGAATCGGATTCATCAAGATGGCCCCTGGATGGTATCTGACAGATACCTACTAATGCAACGCTGGAGGCCTAATTTTGATCCGTGGGATGCTGAATTGCAGAAGAAAATTGCTGTCTGGATTCGGATCCCTCTACTTCCTTTGGAGTTCTTCAATGCGGAAAGCTTAAGGATGATTGGTGCTTTGATGGGACGTACCCTGAAAATTGATAAAATTACGCACGAGGGAGAGCGGGGAAGATACACACGGATATGTGTTGAAATTGATCTCAAGAAGAGACTCAAATCTGCTGTCAATGTTTTCGGCAAAAGACGATGCATTGCGTACGAAGGACTTCATCTCATCTGCTTCTGTTGCGGTAGATTTGGCCACCATATGGAACACTGCCCAGACAAGAACACTTCTATTCCTGGGCCACAAGCTAGTGTGAAAGATAAGAAGGAGAAAACGACAGATTCAAACAAGAAAGCTACTGCAGACTTTGACACGGGTAATAATGTCAACCATATAGTTGGTACCGAGGAAGAGGTTGAACCCACTGGGGAGAAACGTTCAAGAGGGAATATAGAAGGCCCAGAGGTGAAAGAGAGCGGTGTTTCGCCGGTGACGAAGAACTTTGGAGCCTGGAACCTCGTCCAACGGCCACGGAGGCGTAAACCAGGAAACCCCGATAAATCAGGAATCACAGATCAAGTGACAGAGAAAGTCATGAATGCTAAGCAAGAGGAGAGATCCTCTCAAGATCCTAAAATTACGAAAAACAATAAACCAGCAAATGAAGTTGAGAGGGCCAAATTCACGCCAGTTAAGCATGGAAATACTAGATTTTTAGGAAGGAATGCAACAAATCAGATGCGGTGGGTCCCAGTGGAACAAGTGAAACCGTTGACTAAGGCCGTAAAGCCAATTGACAAAGAGAACTTTAGTGGACCTTCATTTAAAGAAGCCAACCCCTTTAAAAAACGAGGCCTTAATAGCTCAAACAATTTTCTCAACTCTCCAAACCCGTTCGAAGCCTTAGCTACTGAGTTTGTAGGAAAGCCCATGGAGGAAGACTCTCTAAATACTCTAAACGGAACCCCGATGTCTAACCGCGAAGAGTCCTTACATGATGCTTGTGAATCAGGTACTCCACTAGTTGCTGAACTTCAGGACATGGCCACAGATCAAAATCTGCTTCCGCAACCTGATTACTCTATAGCTACAGCTTCTTCTTCTTCAACTAAATCTAGGGGACCTATAAGCACTGTCTCCCCTGCACAAAGTTCCCCATGATTTGTCTCTTTTGGAACTGCCGAGGTACGGGCTCCAAGTCTCTCCCGGGGCTCATTAAAGAAATTCGAAAGAGATATGCAATTGACTTTCTAGCGTTATTTGAGACTAAATGCAGCGGGTCCCAAGCTCACTCTTGTTGCCAAAAACTTGGTTTTGATAGCCACCATGTTATGGATGCAAATGGTCGCAGTGGAGGTATTTGGATTGCTTGGAATAGTTTGGACCTCTCCTTAAGTGTTGAAAAGAGCTCTGACTAATTCATACATGTCCTTATTAAAAAAGGAAGTGAAGAGTTCTTCGTCACCTCTATCTATGCAAGCACGAACAAAATCAAGAGAAGACAACTTTGGGACGAATTGAAACATCTTAAACCGAGGAATGATATACCTTGGTTCTTGGGAGGTGACTTTAATGCCACGTTATTCCTAAATGAACGCCGGTCTACTGCTACAAATCCTACATGTGTGGATAAAGACTTCATGAGGTGGTATGAGGATTTGGAACTAAACGACCTAGGGTGCAACGGCCCTCTTTACACTTGGAAAAGGGAGGGATGTGAAAGTCATCTAGATCGAATTGTTGCAAACAACCCCTTCAAGGAGACGTATATTGATGCTTCAGTTAAGCACTTGCCATGGTTCAACTCGGACCATCGGCCAGTTCTCTTCACTACATCTGTGTTTCATTCTCACAAAAAAACAGGAGCGACCATTCAGATTTGTGGCGTCTTGGGTCCTTTATGATGACTTTCCTAGAATGGTTAATACTTCTTGGGATTCTTCAGCCTCCTGGGAAGAGAACGTTAAAACTTTTACGAAGGAGGTTAGTAGTTGGAGTTACAATGTCTTTGGCCATCTCGGAAGGATGAAAAGCCGTATTATGGGGAGACTTGAAGGCATCAGTAATCACTATGGCTCCTCAAATTTTTCCTCCTCTATTGATCAACTACACAAGGAACTTTGGCTTGAATTGGAGAAAATTCTTCTTAAAGAGGACCTTATGTGGGCACAGAAAGCAAAATCTCAGTGGTACTCATTGGGAGATAAAAATTCCAAGTACTTCCATGCGCGCGCTAATGGTCGAAGAAGAAGAAATAAAATTGAAGCTATTAAAAATGACAGAGATGAATGGACGGATGATGTCACGGAAATAAAACAAATTGCTACCAATTTCTTCATGGGCCTTTTTAGTACTAACGATTATGCTCCTGCTCGACTGCTAGATTGTGGCTCTTTTCCTCGCCTTAAGTCAACTGAAATTTCTGAGCTAGAACGAGAGATTAATTCAGATGAAGTCCGGGCTGCTATATTTCAAATGGGCGCTTTGAAGGCTCTAGGTCCTGATGGACTCAATGCTCTATTTTTTCAAAACCAATGGGATACTATAGCGCCGTCTGTTAATCAAGTGGTGAAAGCGGCCGTTGCCGATCTGGCTTCCATTCAGAATCTAAACCAGACCTTTCTGGTCCTCATTCCGAAAAGGGAGTATCCGGAAACCATTCGTGATTTTCGACCTATAAGTTTATGCAATGTTATTTATAAGACTATTACTAAGATTATTGCTAATCGTGTTAAAACTCTCCTCCCACAGGTTATATCTCCGAACCAATGCAGCTTTGTCCCGGGAAGAACGAGCTCTGATAATATTATTGTTGCCCAAGAAGTTATTCACTCTATGAGGAATATGACAGGGAAAAGAGGCTTCATGGCTCTCAAAATTGACTTGGAGAAAGCCTATGATCGTATCAGATGGAGTTTCGTTATGCAATGTTTATATGAACTTGGCTTCCCTTGCTTTCTTAATGATGTGATTTATGCTTGTATTGCCTCTCCTTCCATGCAGATTCTCTGGTAAGGGAGTAAGGCCGAACATTCTCACCTAAACGAGGCCTAAGAAAAGGGGACCCTCTCCCCCTACCTTTTCGTCATTTGCATGGAAAATTAGCCCACATTATTCAAAAGGAGATGTATGACAAACATGGAAACCAATTCGGCTAGGTAAAGAGGCCCTCCCATTTCATATTTATTTTTTGCTGATGATTTACTACTCTTTGCAGAAGCAAACATGGATCAAGTCAAGGTTATCAAGAAGTGCCTTGACAGTTTCTGTGAGGCATCCGGGCAGAAAGTTAACATTGGCAAAACCAGAGTTTTCTTCTCCAGGAACATCAATCATGCTAGAACTACTCAAATAAGCGAAGCTCTTGGATTGACAAGTACGAGTAACCTCGGCAAATATTTAGGAGCTCCCTTACACCATGATCGGGTCACAACTTCTACATACAGTTTGTGTTAGATAAAGTCCGTAGTAGACTCAACAATTGGCAGTTTCTCCATCATCTCGCTCGCTAAACGTAACAGTTAGCGAAATCTGTGATTGCGGCTCTTCCAGTTTACTCTATGCAAACTGCTAACCTCCCGGTGGCAACGTGTGATGAAATTGAAAAGAAAGCAAGAGACTTCTGTTAGAATCAATCTCACCCAAGAGGGGGGTGAATTGGATGAGTTAAAAAAATTGCGAAATTAAAATGAGACAGTATAGAAAACAAGAGTTAGAGTCAAGAGCGATTTCACCACAGCAGATGAAGACACAAGATTTATATTGGTTCGGTCTTAACCACTTGACCTACGTCAGTCCTCAAAACACCTCTAGTATTTCACTATCTTTCAAGATCGATAGGGCTCTTGGTGCCTCGGTACAGTAATTGAATCACTCAATACACTCCCCCTTACTCCCGTAAGGATACAAGCCCTCTCAAGAGTCCACACTCTTGAGTATCACTCAATAGTAATTAATGAAGGATAGTTATCGACTCTCTTACAGAGTAAAATTAATGATGAACACTGACGCTCAGTAGTATTGAGAAGAAACAGGATTGAATGCTAGACTTAATAATCACAGATGGTAGTTCCAGTATTCAATTCAATTCAT